GGGGGGGGGGGGGGGCGTGTGGGAGGCAACCAATTTATGTGTCTCTCTCATATCGATGTTTTTCTCTCTCTCTCTTTGTCTCTTTCTCTCTCTCCATTCCACTCTCTCTGAAAAGCAATGGAAAAAATATCCTTGGGTGAGAATTTAACAAAAAAGAAAGAAAGAAAAGAATAAAATGGGAGAATTCACATTTTCTACAGTCAAGATTTATTGTAAAGCTACAGTAATCAAAGATAATGTGGTACTATTGAAGGCATATACATAAAGATCAATAGAACAGAACAGAGAGCCTAGAAATAGACCCACACAAATACAGTCAACTGATTTTTGACAAAGGTATAAAGGTAATTCGAAACAACTTAATCTTAGGAACCGCTAAAATTACATGGAACATATGTTGGGAAATGCTACTTTAGAATGCCTCATGTCCTTTTTAAGGGAGGTAACTGGGCTGTTTCTAGAGATTTCTTAGGCTGACTTAGCAAAGGATGAATTACAGTGAATGCTTTTTGCTCCATGGACAAGATGACACATTCTGTGGACATTGTCAGCCTCTTTCCCCAGCCACTCCTACCATTACCCAATGGGCTCATAAACAAAGTGGCTATGGTGGCAGGAATGAAAGTTATACAAGGGCTCAGCAACGCAGACTTCCATTCACCAAGAGTGACTGGCTGTGGCCACTCAGCCAGCAGCAGAGACTAACATAGAGTCTCCAAAATGGCATCATTTTCTGGGTTGACCAGCCAGCTATCAGATGGGACGTTGATTATATTAGACTGTTTCCATCATAGAAGGGGCAGAGTTTTGTTCTTACTTGAATAGACACTTACTCTGGATATGGATTTGCCTTTCCTCTACACAATGCTTCTGCCCAAACTATTATCCATGGACTTGCATGGTCTCATCTGTGGACTTACAGGGCACTTATCCACCACCATGGTATTCCACGCAGCATGGCTTCTGATCACGGTACTCACTTTACAACAAAAGAAGTGTGGTAATGGGCCTATACCCGTGGACCTTATGTCTCCTACCACTCTGAAGCAGCTGGTCTGAGAGAATGGTGGCATGGTCTTTTGAAAACTCAGCTGCAGTGCCAGCTAGGTGGCAATACCTTGCACTTCTGGGGTAAGGTTCTCCAGAAGGCTGTATATGCTCTGAAGCAGTATTCAGTATATGGCACTGTTTCCCCCATAGCCAGGATTCACAGGCTCCAGGAATCAAGAGGTGGAAGTGGGAGTGGCACTACTCATGATTATCTCTAGTGACCCACTAGCAAAATTTGTTTCCTTTTCCCACGACTTATATTCTGTTAGTCTAGAGGTCTTGGTTCCAAATGGGGGAATGCTTCTATTAGGAGATACAATAATGATTCCACTGAACTAAAAGTTAAGAATGCTACTCAGTTATTTGGGGCTCCTTATGACTCTAAATCAACTGGCAAAGAAGGAAGTGATGGCTGGGGTGAATAATTCTGACTACTAAGAGAAACTAGACTGCTACTCCACAGTGGAGGTAAGGAAGTTTTCTGGAATACAGAAGATCTATATCTTAGAATTATATTACCATGTCCTGTGATTAAGGTCAAAGGAAAACTACAACAACCCAATCCATACTGGATTCCTCATGGCCCAGACCTTTCAGGAATGAAGGTCTGGGTCACCTCACCAGGTAAAAAACTGTGACTAGCAGAGGTGCTTACTGAAGGCAAAAGGAAAAGTGGGTAGTGGAAGAAGGTAGTTATAAATACTAGCTACACCCACTTGACTGGTTACATAAATGAAGACTGTAATTGCGATGAGTATTCTTTTATTTTGCTATGAATATATTTATGTGTATATATATCTTTTTTTCCCTTTCTTATTCTCTTATTATGTAACATAAGATGTATTGGCTTTGTATCACAGTATTTAAGTATTATTCATTTTACATTATAGTATTTAAGATATGAGGTATCAAGGAAAAGAGTGAACATCACTCAAAGACTTTACCTTGTCTCCTGGGGCAGAGGTTAGGGCATTTCTGATTGTATGCAGGATAGCTGTATCATGTTAGGCAGAATTGTGATATTGTAATTGTCTTTATTTGAAGATTAGGTTGGTTTAAGATGAGGATGGCTACCAAGTTGACAATGGGGTAAACTTGGGATGGTTAATTTTATGTTTCAACTTGCCTGTGCCACAGGGTACCCAGATTTAACATTATTTCTGGGTGTGTCTGTGAGGGTGTTTCTGGATGATATTAGTATTTGAATCCATGGACTCAGTAAAGCAGATTGACCTCCCACATGTGTGTGGACATCATCCAATCCTTTAAAAGAGCCTGAATAGACAATAAGGCAGAAGGAGGAATTTGTCCCTTTTTGCTTCCTGCCTGCTTGCTTGAGCTGGGACACTGGTCTTCTCCTGCCCTTGAACTGGGATTTATACCATCAGCAACCCTCCACCCCCGCCCCAAATTTTAGGACTTCAAACTTGGACTGGGATTATATCACTGGCTTTCCTGGGTCTCCAGCTTCTGGATGGCAGATTGTGGGACATCTCAGCTTCCATAATCATGTGAGCCAATTCCTTATAATAAATTCCTTCATATATATCTTATTGGTTCTCTTTCTCTGGAGAACTCTACTGCAATTTCCAATTCAAATCTCTTTTCTATGAAAATGCCTCTAATTTCACCCAGATCTTCATGGATCTTGCCTTGCATGACTCTCTTGATCTCTTTTGGTCTGGGAGGTACAAAGGAGCATCTCTGACAGGTATGTATTTTAAGGCCTTATCTTTCCAACTAGAATTAATGACCTTGATAATAAGAGTTTTATCTATTATTTCTTCTGTGTGTATTTTCTTCCATTTGTTCATCTGTTTGTTCATTTATTCACCATTCAACACATTTGCTGAGTTCCTACTATATGCTCAGTAGACTGCCAGCCAATACAATAGTGAGCAACATCAGACTGCTCCCTCTATTCTAGGGAGATTACAGGATAGTTGGAGATACAGAAATGAATAAAACAATCACAGAACAGATGCATAATTAAAACCCTGATAATGCTTTGAAGAAAATATACTTACAGAGTCACCTAATCTAACCTTGAGTGGAAAGGAGGGTAGGGCAAGGCAGGAAAGGCTAATTCGGAAGAAGTCATATTGAACTAAGATCTAAAGAATGAGTGGGTTTTCTCTAAATAGAGAAAACAGGTGGAGGTGAGAAAAGTGTTCTACACAGAAGTTCTGGGGAGGGGAAAGTGCACAGGGCCACAGCATTGCACACAACAGGCTTCAAGAGACAGGCAACTGACCACACAGACACTACTGACCATTTTCTTCAGTCTCTTCTCTTCTCGTTTTTTCTCAAGTTGAGCCTCCTTTTCTTCTGCCTCCCTCTTCTGACGTTCCTCCTCTTGAGCCTTTAACTGGGCCTGATCAAGATTAGAATGTATAAAAATCAGAACCCTCAATTTGTATGGAAATATAATCTTTTAAGTTAAGGTGGAGGAAAGTATCTACCAAAGTGTCCACCCTGACTGTGGAAGAAGCTTGCACTTCGTGATAAAAGGAGAAAACCCAACTAACAGTTGGCCAGTTGTGTAACTTGAAAGTTTCTCCAAAGAATCCTCTTCTCCTTGGGAAAATGAGACTAAGCATGAATAAGACCATTAACTTTTTATCATAAAGTGATTACTTTCTAGTTCTTAATTTCATCTTTCAAATATGAAGTCCAAACTATATATACTATGGGATAATTTTTTTTTCCATTTCATCAAAAATCCTTCAAAACTGTTAGTACTACCTATTTTTACTTAGTAGGCACAAAATTTACTCGATAGTCTAGGTCAAAACTTCAAAAGATAAGAACCATCCACCTGTGCAAACCTGTCAGGCTGGACATCTACCTGTAACACATTAGCCTTGGTTACGTGTAAATCTTCCAGTTTGCTAGTTCCCATCAACTTCTGTAACATTTCCTGCTGTCTAATAATGTTGACGTTTTTCCCCCTTTATTTTCCTAAGACTGTTACAGAGTTCAGGCCAGTAGGCCAAAAGCCATTTCCAAAGTTGGTATAACTCTATTATCTCAATAGGCTTAACAAGCTAGGTTTAAATTTTTAATAAAGACCTATACAAATCCATTTTTGTGCCTCAGTTTGCATTCTTGATTTATTACCAATTTCTCCTCTTCTTGTTTTTGCTTCTTCTCTGCCAAGATCCGCCTACGTTCCGCTCGCTGAGCTGCTCTCTCTTCCATGGCTAGAAAATAGTAGGAGTTCCAATATCAAAAATATAAGGAACACTGCAAAACAAATGTCTCTATTTTACAGTAAAATTTGGTGTTATTAAGGTTTTCTTTTAAGTTCATAATCTCAGAAATATATGTATAAACTTTCTTTAAAATATAGATAAATTGTAGCTGTGTATGTATATCCCCTATGGATTAAGGGCCCATAATCTCATCCTCAGCAATGATGAAAAATTTGCAGATTATGTTTTTATTTATATTTCTATTAGAATAACTGTTTACTGGCTTAAATAAGATAATGCGTCTTGACGCTTTTAGTATATGAAACCCAGGAACCAGAATTTTAATTTTATAATTCCTTTAATGAATGTAGAAAACTTTAATTATATCTAACAAATACTTTGAGAATAGAATTACTCCCATTGAGTCTACTAATTTTTCCTAAGTCACTATACATATGTCGGTATATGTAACACCACCACCACAAACTAAAGTTTAGGGTCACGATGAATACATTTTAATTTAGTTTTAAGGCCTGGATATCCAGATGGGCAGGAAATGGAACTGTACTAAGCATTTGGAGAACTGGCATCTGAGTGAATTTGAGTGTCAGACTCCTGTTCTTGACAGTCTATTAAATATCAATCCAAAAGAAGCAAATGTGCAAGATGGTCTGATAATATGACTGTCATTAGTCAGGACTTTCATAGGAAGAGGAGCATGGGTGGGAGGAGTACTAAATTCTGCTCACTCAAGCCAGCCAATGGTTACTTTCAGTTCCTTGTGCCATGTTGTAGAGGAAGAAAATTTAAGTTCATGTTTTAAGAATTAATAAACAACAAACTCACCAGGCTATGTCTCACAGATATTAAGTGTCTGCTTTGTTGGAAAAAGAATAGTGGGGGTGCCACAGATAAGGAGGCAGAAACAGACTAGAGAATTAAAGAGAGAACCCTGAGAAGCAGAGCCTCTGGTAATATGCCCTTTCCCATCTCTTCTGGAGCTAGTCATTAAAGACAACTTGAAAAGTAGCCTGGGGTGTTAAAATATGCTAACTCCTTGATCAAATAAAAAAAATAATCATACCAAATGGCATTTTTTGATCATCCTCAGTGGATAAAGATGGCATAAACTGCTGTCCTGGTATAGTCAACAAAAGACTACTAATTAATAGGAACTTTGGGCACAGTGTCCTTCAGATGACATCAGTTCTTGTTAGGGCAACAATCTTGCCACAGGTGAAACACAATCTAATTTACAAAACACAATCTAATTGTCAAAGTGCCTAACACCACATAAAGTAAAAACAATCAGCAGATTTATTAGGTGGGTTCTAAGGAATGTTCCTCTTCCAACAGTATTGTTTGGTGTAAATAATGGTTTCTATGTTATCAAAAATCATATTAAATTAAAATGTGTGGTTTATAGATTTCATTACTAAAAATGATTCATCAAGGCACAACTCATTATAAAATAATATGCTAACTTAAGTTGCTATAAATTAATGAATATTTTAATGTTAACAAAGTACAATGATAGGTGATCTTTATCAATGTTTATTCTTAGCAGCTACTTTGAGTTTTCTCATTTGTGTATTTGTCCCATTTTTTTAATCACAATACAAACCTCAAATTACAGGAAAATTATACACCTCTCAGAAATTTTTCTTTTTTGTATTGGCTGCAAAGACCAAAAGTGTGGCAGAAAAGGCAGGAAAATGTTGTGGAGCTCTCTGGTGTGTTCCACTTTTCACATGTCCACCCACCTTAGACTGACCAGATTCTGCTAAGCCTCAAAACCCTAGAGTAGCCCAAATTCAGTCCCAGCACACTCTACTACACAAGGGAAGATAACCACCATGAAGGACAAACCAAGACAGCCCTGCCTTTAAGTATGGGATGGGGTGCCATCAGCTTCTTTGGGTTCCTTCTGGGTCCAGAAAGATCATTTCGGGAGTCGCTTTTACTACCTTCAGTAGTCCCAGGGGAAGCAACAGGGGAACTGGAAAAGAAAAAAAACCAATTCAGACCAATAACCAGCTTCATTCAAAGCCCTTGCACCTAAGGAACTCAAAGAATTTTAAAAACTTTAATCCTTTTTCTCTGAGATAACCACACATTATTACACCCTTTAGATAAATTGGTGTAATAAGGCATGGAAAGGCTGAGTGATTGGGCTGAGTCTATAGTGTGAGTCAGGCACTCTGACTCTCACCCTGGTGCTTCAAATCAATAGGTGTCATTTATTTCTTATCCTACCATTTGTCACACAGATAGAGTATGTCTCAAACATGTCTGAAAACATCTTAAATGGCTTTTAAGAAATTTGGACTCTTATTCCAGGCCCAAAAATGTTTACTTTTATACAAAACAACTATAAATTTAGGCTAGGTAATTGGCCAGCCCCAGAGGCTGCTCCATTTGGACCTGGTATTGTCTGACCTGGCTTCTCAGCACTAAATATAATCAGAAACCCATAAATCAAGCTAACGTATTTTTCTCTTTTACTGGTATAATAACAGAGCTCCTAGACAACGATAGCTGCAATACAAATGTAACTGTGTAAGTGGATCTTTCTAGGCAGCCACTTGCCTTAAAGACCTATTTGTATGTTTCATGTACCAATCACAATGCATGGGCCTCTCTGGTCTGAGAGTGCACAACAAAAGCAAAGCAGAGATCACGGGCTGGAAGCTAGGCAAAGTTCAGGAGCCTGTCTGCCACAAAGTGAAAAATTCCAAATGATGAGTCCAAAGAGTGTTCTGATACAATGGACATACTTTGAAAGCACCTGGTAGGTTCTTTTTGGTTCTTCTTCTCTGGGGTTTGAAAGTGGCAGGTTCTGTGTGTCAGTGACAGATGCATTGCGCTCTGCTGTCCACTGGGCCTTCTCCAGCCTCTGGCTTTCCTTCAGCTCCAGAATTGTTTTGTGCTGTTCTTGAAGTTTCCTCTTTTGCTTCTCAATCAGCTGTTGCTGGAAGACATGGCGGTTGTGGAAATGACCCATGCAAGTGGGTTTTGCTTTCTGGCTGGTGGTTCTGAGCTTCTCACTGCTGTCAGGCTGTTGGGAGGACTCAACATCCAAGGTCTTGTGCAGCTTATTGTCAGATGTGTTCAGAGGGACATTCTGGAGGGGAACTTGCAAGATGCTCTCTGATGGTCTTCCTAGGTGGGAGCTAGGCATATAACCATTGCTCCCTGAGGGAGGCTTTTCCCACAAAAGGGGAATGGCAGTCACCTGAGAGAGAAGGAAAAGGTAATATAGCTCATCTATTTAAAGGACTGTGCTGATGAAATCCAACTTCATCTAGTCAGCATTGTTCTGCTCAATGGTACAACCGCCCTGCACCCCAGCCAGAGTTGCCCTGTGCTCCTTGCCTGGCCATCTTACAGGCCACCAGCCTTAGCTCTGAGAGCCACTCTTAGAATGAGCACTGCTGCTGGCAAGGAAAACAGGGTGTGGGTGTGGGGGGACAGTGGCTACATCTGTACAAACCATTGACATGGGCCACAGCATTTTGTAGTCAGAGAAATGTGCTCTTATAAATTTCTAATTTGGATAGTTCATTTGTGAATTAGGCAAGATTACTCCAGATATATATTATAGGAATTTTCATTTACATGAATTAAATCTGAATTTTGCAAAAAATTAAAAATTTTGTGGCAAAGGATATATTCTTTCTCAAGAATGTTTGAACACTAAGAATACCTTTACAAATCATTAACAGGTCTTTATAATAGCTCTTTAATAGTAATAGCTCTTTAATAAAAGTTCTTTTAATGCCTCTCTTGCCACTGGTAAATTAATCACAGGGTATTTATTTATTTTAAGATTAAGGACTGGATTAAAGTTTAGAGTCTCTAGTTATTCCCAAACAATCTATTTGTGGGAAATATTGGCAAACCCAGTATAATCAGATAAATCTCTGTATTACATAAGAATAATGTTACCTAATATTTTATATTAGCACATGGCTTAATAGTTTTCAAAGCTTTATCATTTAAATCTCATTTAACAGACCGAGGTGTCACAATTACAAGTTCCAGTCAAAAGAAAAGGAAACAGAATTTTTAATCAGAAAAATTTATCTTGGCCAAAATAATGTCCTAGTTAAAATGTCTTTTCTAGAATGGTTTGATGCCATGGTATAAGGTCTAACCAGTTTTTGATTCTGTCATCTGCAGAGGTATAAGGAGAAAAATACTGTGAACTATCTTATATATCTTAGAAGCTTCTAGCTCTAACAGGGTGCCATACTTAGGTACTTAAATATATTTTTCATGAAGACGGAAATGTTTTCTATAGATTTGGCTGAAGTGAAAGATGTGGTATGTGGAAACTCTGGCATGTTAAATACTTTTAAAAATAACCTTCTATTTCAGAAATGTCAGTGGACATTTATTCATGAGAACACCTGCTTAAGTAATTTAGCATCAAGCAGGGTACATGTTTTAGGCCCTTTTAAAACTTTGTAGTAATGATACATTATTAACCCAGCAAGGCTATAAAAGCCTTGAGTTTAGCGACAAGATTTTTTTTTTATCATGGTAACTTTTTAAGGTGAAAATTAGAGAAAGAAAAGCTTACTGGTACAGATTGTACTTAATAGAACAGAACTGAACAATCTGGCTTAATTAGAGAAAATCACCTATTAGCTAACTGATCATTCTGAAAAATTTCAAAGTATAATATATGTGTTTGTGGTACATGAGTTCTTATGATTGTGTAATTAATGAACACCTAACTAAAGATTTTATATTTTCATTTGTTCATGTTATACTCTGCTACACTCTGGAAAAGATTAAGAGTGTATCTAGTAATACAGGGCTTATTATAACCCTTTATTTTCATTTGCTCTTTTTTTTTTTACAATATTATCCTTTCTTGATAAATTCTTTTGTTTTTTTATTTCAGAGATTTGGAGACCCTTATATATATAAACTATATATTTTTAGTAATTTTTCTGTTATACACAGGAAAAAAATACTTTCTGCTGACTTTTTAAATTTAAAGATAATAACAGTGGGACTCTGTAAGGTAAAAGGTTCCACACAGCTATTTCCTAAGATAGAAGACTCTGCTGGGTCTCAACAAAACAAAATTATCTAGCTGACATAAAGGTAGATAAACCGCCTAGGGGAAGGGAGCAAAATGTTACATAAGTCCCAATAAGCATCCTTATGATCCCCCTTTGCTGAGAGACTAAGCTTAAATTAAAACCAACTACTTAAATTAAAACCAACTAGCAGTAGTCAGGGTAAAAACAAGGCTGGGGACCCTCTAGTGCCCGATTTAATTTCACACATCTAAGTACTTAATAGCATTATGTGGAGGGGTGGAAGGGCCTGGGGTGGAGATGGATGGGTAGAGCTTTTAAAACTTAAGTGCAGTTATGAAAGAAAAAAACTGGTAGGATTGCCTTTATAAAAATTTAACTATATATAGTACCACACACCATGAATAAACCAAAAAGACAAAGAACAGAATGAAAAAAAATTGCAAAATATATAATAATAAAAGCATCAATAGTCTTAAAAATATAAAGAGCTCCTATAAATAAGAAAAAGATATATAATCAAGTAGAAAAATGGACAAAGGGCATGAAGAGACAAGTCACTATATATCTATCTTACGATATCCATTTTCATATACTACAGATATGTGTAAATGGCCAATATAAAAAATGTTTAACCTCAGTGGTAATAAAAAAGACCTGCAAATGTTGAAGCAATAAGATGAAAATATTTCACCAGTTAACTTGGTAAAAATAAAAAATATGTTATCAGGCAAGAAAACGGGCACTTCTTACAGCAATCTGGTAATAGTCTTTAAAATGTGCATTCTATTTTTAGGTATTTATCCAAGGCAAAGCATTATGGATTGTGCAAAGATTTAGCTACAAGGATGTTCACTGAAGCTTTGTTTGCAATAGTGATAAACTGGAAACAAATATCCAGCAATAGAGAAGGAAGTAGACAGATTCTAGCTTGGAGTTTATGATAGAATATCACACAGCTATCACAATATAATGGCACGGAATGGTAGTCCTTAACCAGTGGGTATTCATCAGGTTCACCTGTGGAATTTTAAAAAATACAGATGCTCTATTCCGAGATGCTGATTTAGTGGTCTGATTCTGCAGTATACTCTCAGTTGAGAACTACTGTTGTAGAAGACTTAATGACATAAAAAATTCTTGTTATATTATGAAAATGCAAAATAATTTTTTTAGCAAAACAGAAAAATTACATTATTAAGAAAAATACATGGCCTTCATTTTCCTGTGTTATGGCAAACTAACGTTCTCAGCGACTTGACAAAAGAAAAATGTAAAGCTAAATAAAATATTGAAGAGAAAAATTTGCATATACCTGAATAGAAAAAAGACTAGATGGCTATACTTCAATCTGTTACTGGTAGTTACAGTGGTTCCTCGGTTTTTGAATGAACTCCGTTCTGGAAGCCTGTTTGAGTTCTGAAATGTTAAAAAACTGAGGGATCAAGAGCGGACAGCTAGGCCTCAGGATCTTGCCCTCAGCAGAAGCCATGTGGCATGTTCAACTCCCGAGGCGGGTTCAAAACCGAAGCATTTACTTCTGGATTTATGGCGTTCCTCAACCGAAGTGTTTGTCAATGGAGATGTTTGAAAACCGAGGTACCACTGTATCGCCAAGTGATAAAATTATAGGCTACTTTTCTTTCTTCTCTCACTTCCTCCTACAAAATTGCTATAATTAATATATATGATTTTTCTCACTAGAAAAATAAAAACTCAACCATTCCCCTCTTATAAGTCACAAGGCTCATTTAGGAAGGAAATGCCTGATGATCAAATAAGAGGAGTTCGAGAGTTGTAAACAAGGCTTTATGTTATCTGTTCCTGAAGGAGTCTTCCTCTAAGTTATTTTAAATTCCCTTTTTCATGTTCCTACTAAGTTTCAGCTACACCAAAGTTTACATGTGATTATAAAAGGAAGATACAGTTCTGCCCTGGCTGGTATTGCTCAGTGGTTAGAGCATCGGTCGCGCACTGAAGGGTCATGGGTTCGATTCCTCATCAAGGGTACCTGCCTGGGTTGGAGGTTTGATAGCCAGCCCCTGCTGGGGTACATGCAGAAGGCAACCAATCGATGTGTCTCTCTTACATTGATGTTTCTCTCCACCTTTCTCCCTTCCTTCTTCCCTCTCCCTCCTTTCCACTCTCTCTAAAAAGGAAAAATATCCTCTGGTGAGGATTAACAAGAAAAAAAAATAAAAAATAAAAAAGATGATGTAGTTCAAGAAAATGAACGATTGAAAGCTAACCTTCGTGCATTATAGCAGCTCTCACCTTTTAGATAGCCTAGGCAAGGCAACCTAACAATGGCTAACATACCCCAAGCTGCCCAAGTGCCAAGCTCAAATGCAAGTGAGTAATAAGCAGGAAAACCAAGCAAAAGCAAAGCCAAGTACCTCTCCTTTAGGTGGCTCCACCATGGCTGCTGCCTCCTCAAGTAGACTGACGCCCGATGACGCGGCTGCGCTGAGCTTCCCCAGTGCCGCTGCTTTCAACAGCTCATCCATTTTCCTCCTTGTTTCCCCCTTTGTCACAGCCAGCTCTCTCTTCAGGACCTCTGCGCGACGCCAGTGCTGCCATTCTGTGAAGTGCTGCCGGAGAACTTGCTTCCGGTTATACTCAGTGGCCAGTTGTTGTTTTCTAAGCAACAAAGCACTTCCATTAAAAAAAGAGAAGCCATTTACAGCTTGTTACTTGGTGATATAAACGAAACACAAGTCGAAAGGAGTCCCAGAAATGCTCCAAGTAGCTCCAGCTTACCCTTTTATTTAAGCTAAATGGAATTGCTTTATAAAATCCCAGTGCGAAGGGTCTGCTCATAGAGGGCGTTGGCACCTCAAGACATTACCACAGAAGAAAGATGGACTGTTCTGTTCTATCATGCCACAAAGACATATTACATTTTTTGATTACCATAAAATCGTTTCTGAGAGCTTTTAGAGGGGAAGGAGCAAAAAGAATAGGTATATAAGTAACTACTTTTAAAAAGATGAATGCATGAGGGAGATATCCAGCTATGCTTGGAAAACTAAGGAAGACAGAAGTTTGGGAGGAAGGGAAAGAAACAAAACTGAAGTGAATTGTCAACAATTAAGTATAAAACTTATAAAAGTCAATGTGAAACTATGAAGGTAGATCTCGGGAAAGGAGGGCTTGGTCAGGGACAGGTTTTCTGAAAAGGACTCATTTACAAACCCTAAACTAAATGAAGGAAGGATGGCCTAGTGAAGATAATTGCTAAACACTAGACATGTGTGAGCGGCAAAGACAGGGGCTTGCTCTCATGGAACTCCCTCACAGTCCAGTAGGAGTTCTGGTTTGTTCTCCTTCTAAGGAGGAGCTCCTTTCAATTCCTGGAAACTTCATAAATGTCAGGGGACGTGACTGAGTGTAGTTAGGAATTGCCAGCTACATTCCCTTCCCAACGGGAATCTCCATTAGGAGCCACTTTGGAAGCGGCATGAGTTCTCAGAGCTCTATCTGTAAGTGGGTGATTACTGCCCCTGAAGAAGTGAGGTATAGAGCTTGGAACTTATGTCACATCAGGGGTCAGCTTTGAAGTTTAAAAGCTAATATTGTTTAGAGACCTATTTGATTTTATCTTGTAAAGGAGAATCAAGTAAGTTCTCAATAACACTATTTGCATATCCATTTCTGTTAAATAAACATAATGCTTAACTCTCCTCATGGACTTTCAGGGCTTATAATAAAAAAAAAATCATTAAGTTCTTAAGTCAATGTGTCAGGAGAACATATTTACAGTTCTTAAATACTTAAGCGATTTTTAAACCTTTTTGATTGCCACCTGCAGTAAGAAAAAAAGGTACACTGTGACTCAATATGCAAGTTTATGTGTGCACTTATGAAACAAAATTATATATATCTGAAACAAAAGTTTCACTAAGCAATATTTACCCTATTACCAGAGATGCACTCGTGTGTTTCTGTTGTAATATGTTCAAATAGAACATAGCTCATCTTGAGCTTGACTTCAGGACCCACTAATGCGTTAAAACACTTAGTTTGAAAAAGACTACTCCAGAATCATAGACTCTGTCAGAGGAGTTGGGTGAAACAACCAACTAGTGAAAGCAAAGTCAACTGAAATAATGAATTTCAGGATAAACATTAACAGTAACTCTGCTAACAGCACTTTTCATTATATTTAATTGCTTCTTCCTAATGAATTAATTGGTATTCAATAAATACTTGGTGATTGACTGATGGTTTTTGTAATGAAAGTAAAATAGAGGTGGTAATAAATATTTGTATTTTATTTTACTTTGATGAAAATAAATTATCTATTATGAGACTGAATAGCCTTGAAATAAAAATTTTAGAAGACATAAGAATAAATCAGGTAGCAACGCAGGTAAGAAAAAAGCTCCAGGCCCGGCTGGGCGTGGCTCAGTGGTTGAGTGTCGACCTAGGATCCAGGCGATCGGGGTTCAATTCCAGGTCAGGGCACATACCCGGGTTGTGGGCTCAATCAGTGACTCTTTCATCATTGATGTTTCTATCTCTCTCTCTCCCTCTCCTTTCTTCTCTCTGAAATCAATAAAGATATATTTAAAAAAAATAG